GAGGCAGAGGACTGGGGCACAGGAGGGGTTTCAGGGTGCTCAATCTGGGTATGTCCCTGCAGCTCCAAGTTGGTGGCATGGCTAGGCAGTTAGGGTACGTCTAGACTACATGTCTCTGGCGACAGAGGCATGTAGATTAGACTACCCGGCATAGGAAAATGAAACGGCGATTTACATAATCGCCACTTCATTTAAATTTACATGGCTGCCACGCTGAGCTCCTGGGACGAGGCATACCTGGGATGTCGACAAATGCCTTTGATGTCGACCCCTGCGCGTCCAGACTACCGCGCTGAGCTGACAAACAGCTGATCGGCTCAGCGCGGCAGCCATGTAAATTTAAATGAAGCGGCGATTATTTAAATCGCCATTTCATTTTCCTATGCCGGGTAGTCTAATCTACATGCCTCTGGCACCAGAGACATGTAGTCTAGATGTATCCTTAGTCTGCATGTTGCCTCCGCCCACAGGCACCTTCCTCTGGCCATGCTAGAAGCCAACCAATGGGAATTGCAGAGACAGTAACTCAGGGCATGGGCAGAGAACAGAGCCCGTGGGGACAGCAGGGGTCTGTTGCTGGTTCTAGGGAGCCACACGGAGCCTGGGAGGGAGCTTGCCACCCCTGTACCAACTGGACTATAAACTGGACTTCCCAAGAAGATCAGAAAAGTCTGTTCATAGAGCTTCCCAGCTGGCAGAGTGCCAGATAAAACCGCTCTGGCTGTAGGATTGTTTAGAGAGGCCTACACAAATACTCACTGTGAGGGGCTCCTCCGCCACACATGTGCATACCCTTTCAATCTGCATTTTATATCACATTGTTCTCGCTGAAGAAATGACTGTGTGTCTTTGCAGTGGTGGATTAAGGCTTACCTGGGCCCTAGGGATAAAGAACATTTGAGCCCCACACAGCTCTTGCCATGGGACCCCTGGCCCTCCCATTCTCCCAAGGCCCTGTCCTCTGGCTACGCTAGAAGTAGAGCCAGGCTGCTGTGGGGAGCCCTGGACCCTTCACCTGCCCTGGGTGGCATGCCGTAGGGGATGGGGACACAGGCTGGGGACATGCTTTTGGGCATCCTGGTTCCCTGCCAAGGACAGGTGACGCATCCTGCACAATACCCCAGGTTCACTGGGTGGCTTTGAACACAGCCTGGGGTGACCATACATCCTGTTTTGATCAACACAGTCCCCTTTTTAGGCCTTGCCCTGGATATCCTGACTTTTTGGACAAAACTGGACATTTTTCCTGTTTGCTCCTTGCAAACAGGACCAATGCCCAGTTTTTACCAAAGAGGGGCTCAGAGGTGGATGAGTGAGTGGCGGGTCTTGGGACAACCCTTCATGGGAGTGGGGTGGGGAGCTCAGGTGAGTGGCTTGGGCCACATGGAGGAAGTGGGGACATATGGTCTCCCTACTACAGCCTAGTTCCACTTTCCAGTCTGTCCAGAGGGTGGGACTAAGGGAGGAAGAGGAGGAGCAGAAGGCCAGGCCACAGGTCAGTAGCCCCCCTCTACTATATGGGTTCAAGCACTCCTGCTGGGGCCATCAAATTGGTCAGGGCCCTTGGCAGAGGCTTTGTGGGCATATGTGTTACTATGCCACTGATGTGACCAGTGAAAAGGAAGGAAAATGTCCCTCTTTTCTGTTACCATTGTTATTGTGATTAAAGCCATATCTCTAGTGCGATAAGAAGAGGTTTACCTGTAAATTTGGGTGACTTTGTCAGATGGTCCTTTGGTGAGCTGGAAATGTAATGCATTCTTATAAAGAAAAGCAAAATAAATTATAGTAAATTAAGTGAAATACTACCTTGAAAGTATTTTAACCTCTTCTGCTTTCTTTTTTCATTTAGCAAAATAAAATAAAAAACCTCCCAATCTCAGAGATACAGTTCACTGTGTGCTAGTACTAGTTCATTATCTACGGACACAAAGTTTTTACAACTTGTTCTCTGATTAAAGTTGGACTGTACTTGTTACTACCATGCAATATCTCATTCCTGAAAATGTTTGTGTAGTTCTTACCTCTCTCAGGCTTAAAACTGAGGCTTTTTGAAGATATCACAGCATGGCAGAATCACCTTATTTCAGCAATGCACTAAAAATAAAGTTATTGAAAGTCCAGTAGGACTTTGGACCTTTGCTGCTTTGCAGTTAATTTTGGGACTACACTTCTTGATCTTTAGGTCTGATTTCAGACCTTTAAGGGATAGCAGTAGTCACATCTGGTATTATGTTAGTCATATATGGAACTCATTTAAATTGAGTCTCCTAATCCATATCATTCATTGCTAACACTATTGTGACCTTAACTACTAATGACACAGTCAACCCTGATGCAGAACTATATTTAGATACAGAAAACATCTTACAGGCCTGACAAAAGTGAGAGGTCTAACATTTTATGTTGTTTGGTTTTTAATATAATTATTGTCCTCTTCAGAAATAGAACTGTCACAAAGGAAAATAATTAACAAATTTCCACTTGCATTTTATTATGAAGATAAATGTGGGGTTCTGGTTTGAGTGAGCTCCTCTGTTTTTTATACACATATTTGAAAACACATTATGAAGTAAGTTAGACCTCAGAAGTAATTTAAGTTATCATAACAGCATGATAAAGTACAATGTTTTTTCTAAAACTCTATCACTATCAATGAAAAATTAATGCATAGTGGCTGTGTCTAGACTGGCAAGTTTTTCCGCAAAAGCAACTGCGGAAAAACTTGCCAGCTGTCTACACTGGCCGCTTGAATTTCCACAAGAACACTGATAATCTCATGTAAGAAATCAGTGCTTCTTGCGGAAATACTATGCTGCTCCCGTTTAGGCAAAAGTCCTTTTGTGCAAAAGATTTTGCGCAAAAGGGCCAATATAGACAGCTCAGATTTGTTTTGCGCAATAAAGCCCCAATCGCGAAAATGGCTTTTGCCATTTTGCTTTTGCGGAAAAGTGTCCGTGCCAATCTAGATGCTCTTTTCTGCAAATGCTTTTAACGGAAATCTTTTCCGTTAAAAGCATTTGCGGAAAATCATGCCAGTCTAGACGTAGCCAGTCTGTGCTCTCCAAAAAAGCTCAAGGCACCTAACTGCAAGTGCAATTTAAAGGGAGCTGGATGTCTAATTTCCTTAGGCCCCTTTGAATTTCCCAGCTTTAAACTGCGTCCGTTATTTACACAGGCTTTAACAAATCCATTCTGCTGCCTGTGTATCTGCACTTCACTAACACGCAAGTGTTAGTTAATGTATCTGGAGCCTATATATGCCAACATCTTGAGGTTTGTCCAAAAGCTTCAAGGCTCCATTGGACAGATGAAAGACTCAATGCCAGCCTGGAGCAAATGGCAGAATCCAGGTTAAGTGAAGTTTTACACTTGTGTATGCTTTTGCAGGATTGGACCTATATATACATATGTAATTAAAAATGCAGTTTAAGATTCTGCAACTGCATCTGCTTCTACTTAAGTAAATAGCAGACAATCTATTGAATGCCATCATGCAGGAGGGGAGCTAATACAACATATTAACAAAGTGTCAGACAAAGTATTCAATAACTTCCCTATTCCTATCAAATGCAAAGCTGAACACTAACCATGCCCTATGTATAAGCCTGTTCAGATAGGCAGACCTTCCCTTGCAGCCATGAAGGCCAAGAAACTATGGTTCTTTCATGCCAACCTGAAACTACTGCAAAAATTAAAAAAAATAAAAAAATAAAAAATGTGTAAGATACACTGAAAACATCAGTGAAATATGATTGACACAGTTTTGGATGGATTGGTAAATAGCTGGTGCCCAAGTTAAACAATAAAAAATGCTCTTCTATTTATGTTGGCTGTGTCTACACTGGGCCACTTATTCCGGAAAATCAGCCGCTTTTCCGGAATAAGCTGCAAGCTGTCTACATTGGCCCTTGAATTTCCGGAAAAGCAATAACGCTCTACTGTACAAAATCAGCCGCTATTCCGGAAAAACTATTCTGCTCCCGCTTGGGCATAAGTCCTTATTCCGGAACACTGTTCTGGAAAAGGGCCAGTGTAGACAGCCCAGTAGTCTTTTCCGGAAAAAAGCCCCGATCGCGAAAATGGCGATCGGGGCTCTTTTCCGGAAAAGCACGTCTACATTGGCCACAGACACTTTTCCGGAAAAAGGGCTTTTCCGGAAAAGCAGCCTGCCAATGTAGATGCTCCTTTTCTGGAAAAACTGAAAACGGAATAGTATTCCGTTTTAAGCAGTTCCGGAAATTCATGCCAGTGTAGACACAGCCCATGTGTTTATCTAAAATCACTTGCAAGATTTCCTGAGGTTGCTTTCATGTTGTGGTTGGCTAATTTGGAATTATGTGAGACCTTGATCATTGTTTGTTCATTCTGTGTCCTTTATTATTTCTATACTTGTTGTGACGGACTCCCCACCCCTATGGTTTATGAAATGGACTCATGGACATGAATATACATAACTCAAAGGTGGTTTGAGCGAATTATTTCATGTAACCCATCGATCTTCATGTCATGATCTGCTGGTTCTGTTTATCTTACTCTGTAGTATATATCACTTGTGTGTGTGAAATTAGACACATGGAGTGGGGAATACTTGGTGAGTTTCAAATGTGTGAATGGGAGACACGGAGGGTGTTACCTGCAACTTCTAGATGAGCCACTGTTAAACAATCTTTTGTCCTTAAGTCTGAGAAGTGGTTGGTAGGGAGTGGCCTCACCTCCTTAACAAAAGGAATAGGAAAGCAGAGGCCTAGGTCTTTTGGCTGGGCTGCACCTGAAGGAAAGGGCCAGGGACCCCAGGGTGTGGAAGAAAGTCTTGGTTTGGAGGGGCAGCTGGAAAAGAGGCCAGGGGAGTTTGATTAAGTTTGTACTGAGGTTTCAGTGGAGAACTAGCCAAGCAAATTTCTTTTGATTTGTAACCTACTTTGCTCTGCCTGTTTTCACTTATTACTACTTAAATCCTCATGCTTCAACTTAATAAAACCATTTTTATATTCTATCAAACCCAGTGTAAGGGATTGTCACCTGGAGGGGCGGGGGAACCAGTGTGCACATTCCTCCTTTCATTGTTAAAGATGACTTACCTAATTCCTTGGGGTCTGATCCCATCTGGGGAGTGCTCTCTCAGTAGGCTGGGCCCTTAACTGCACTCTCCTTGGACCTGGAGTGGTTCAGTGTCGGTACTGCTTTTCAGTGGGGGCAGGGACCTCAGCTTGGGGCCTTGGCTGGGGAAGACGAGCAGAGCTGGCCCAGCAGGACTGGGTGGTAAGGAACCCCAGAGAGCAGGAAGGTGAGTGGCAGTGGCCGTGTCAGTATCCCAAGGGGTCGTCTGTGACTGCACCCTGTCACACTGGTGTCTTATAAGGGGCTGCAATTTTATCCAGCTAAAATATAACAGCATTTTTTTTTTAGAAAATCATGAAAAATAGTGTAAGAAGCAGAAATGCTAACTTTTTCATGGACAAAACATAATGCTCAGTATTCCCCTTTCTTTGACAATGCACCCTCCCAATGTGCTCTTACAAAACCTGCAAACTGACTTTGGAGCAATTTTAGATTTCAGAGAACTCTCTCCTTATGTGTCAGGTTTGTTTTCCCCCCAAAATGCACCACCCAACCTCAAGAAAAGTCTGAGGGTCTGGGTGAGGTGCTAAATGTCCTTACATGGGCAGGGAACCTTATCCCCGCGTGCCTGGCTCTGGTTTCATTGTAACTGTCCCGGTTTAAATGATGCTTTTCCCTGCCCCTTGGCCAGGCCAGCTGGAAAAAGAGAGACGGTAAATCTGGCCCCGGGAACAGAGGGAGGGGGGGGGGAGGCTCATTCTCCCAGGGGCTGGGGGGCGAATTGGATCCCGACCTCGTCCCCGCGGCCCCACCCCCAGCGCGAGCGGGGTCTGGGACAGGGGGCAGCTGCACTGAAGACGGGGCGGGGCTAATGGGCTGGGCGCTACGCGGGAGGGCTCCGCCCACGGGCTCAGCTACATGCCCGGCGGGGCCCGCGGCTCACAGAGCGGGCGGTATGGCCGGCGTGCGGGAGAAGGCGGCGGCGCTGGGTGTCTGCGCCCTGTACAGCCCGGCTAACAAGCCCCCGGGTAGGGGAGCGAGGCGCGGCAGGGCGGGCTGTGTCGGGGGGCGGGCTGTGCACTGGGACCCTGGCGCTGCTGCTGTGGGGTCTCGGCTCTCTTCTCCGGTGCTCGCACTGGGCAGTAGCGGGGGCGGCGTTGGCGGCTCTTGAGCGCTAGTTCCCTGGGTCCCCCACTCGAGCAGGAAACCGGGTCTGCCTGTGGAGCGCGCTCGTTGTGTCCCAGGGACTCGCAGGCGGTCTGCGGGCCGCTGGGAATCCAGTGGCGCCGTCCCTTCACCTGCCCTTCGGTTAGGCGAACGCACTC